CAAACAGATCAACATATATGATATTTTGGAAGGTTTACATCTTTTTCAAATGTGGAATAGACAGAATATTCATCACGAAGCTTGTGTTTTGTAATTCTATTAATTGATTTAATAGAACAGCATCCTGAGTTGACGTGTTGCGTTAGATAACCAAGGTCCTTTTTGAAACACGCTTTAGAAATATTTATTAAAAACACGTGTTGTTCCATACTCTTATTTGTACCCTGCTTTGCATTTTCTGATCGAACATAATTATCTGGAAGTACTTTAAACTTTACTTTCGATTTACGAGCACACTGACTACGTTACATTTTTGTTACTGTTTCGACTTCATGTTTAACGTACTGATTCGTGCACTTTCTGTGCTATACAGTACTTAGTTTGTAGCAGAGAAACAACGGCACATTTCACTTTTATTATCGTTAATATGATTTATCAGAATCACCGTATGTGATCGTTAGTTTTATTGCCTTGTATAAATTTCCATGTTTTCTAGAACAACCTTGAAAACTAATGGTTATCCGTTGGAGTTTCTTGTAAGAATAACACGAACTTTTTTACAAACAAACTACCACAAACAAAAATCCCAATACTTCAAAATTTCCGTTACTTCTTGTCGTTTCTATCTTGGGAAAACAAAGTTTTTCGTTAACAAACAAATCCAGAATTTCATAAAACTTTCACTCGCAAATAAAACTACCAGTAGTTTTCAGATATTCTATCCGATTTTGCAACTTCTTTAATCAAAGTTAAAAAGACGTTCTCCTTACTTTACGTCCGTGGGTCCTTTATATATACACTTGTTGTGCCTGATATTAACAAAACACCAATTAAAAATAACAACAACAACAAAAACGTGCCTATGAACGTATAAAAGTTTTATGCAGAAGTGGTCAACTACTCCTAAATCCACGTTCTTCCCCCCATTCGCACCCATTGCCAAATTATTAGATTGAAACCTCAAGTTTCTAACGACGAGCTTCTGATCAAAGAAAATTTACGTCTCAAACGAACATACAAATCTAAATAACAATCTCAGTTAATTTCAGCTAATGCTATTTTAAAAATTAAACATGTCGTTTTGTTTTATTGCGATTATACTATTTTTAATTAGACTTCGTTTTCCACTTAACGAATATATTACTGAAGAATGTAAAACCCCTTGTTGGAAACTAATGCTCATATTTTCACAAAAAAATGCGATACACACTCATAAAAATAATGGATAAAGTACGAAACCAATAATATATGATATTATATTCATGTCATCAGAGTAATAGATAAAGAACAGTACAAACAATATATGATATTATATTCATATATCATCAGAGTAATAGATAAAGAACAGTACAAACAATATATGATATTATATTCATATGTCATCAGAGTAATAGATAGAGAACAGTACAAACAATATATGATATTATATTCACATATCATCAGAGTAATAGATAAAGAACAGTACAAACAATATATGATATTATATTCATATATCATCAGAGTAATAGATAAAGAACAGTACAAACAATATATGATATTATATTCATGTTATCAGAGTAATAGATAAAGAACAGTACAAACAATATATGATATTATATTCATATGTCATCAGAGTAATAGATGAAGAACCTT